GGGGCAAGACCCTTCCTCGCGGAGCCAGCACAGGGGAAAGCTTGCCCCTGCACCCCTGCCCTGAGTTCAGATTATTCTCATAAACTGGGAGAAACTACATTTCTGTTTGCGGAAGGCATCCACTCCGTGGAGTTTGGGTTTTGACGGTACCAGAGAGGCAAGACACACTGTGGACCTCCTTTCCCTGTCGTATCTCCGTGTATACTCTGTATCCTATTTTAAATGAAATGTTTTTCTATAACATGGTCTTTCATTCTTTCTTCATTTCACCTGGCGAGGACTAGACATGATTTGATTGCCCGTTTCTTGTGAGGCCAGCACGGGACCGGGCCGTGTTCCACTCTGTTGTGCATAGGTTGGCACGTACCCACCATGACAACGCTGTCCTGGTTTACATTGTCCCCACCGTTCCGGATGAAAACGCATAGCCGTCGTCTGCACCACGTTGAGAGGCCCACAGTCTTGATTTATGCTTGTAGCTTTTAAAAAGTCCAAACTGTGTACGCCTGGTTCCGACTGCACCAGTGGTTGGGATGGGTGATCAGTCGGTCACACAGACTGACTCTGGCTGTGCCTGAGCTCCTGGCGGCCGGGTGGAAAGGGGTTTTCAGTCCAAAGATGTAGGGGGAAGTAGTAGGTAGTTTATTCGTTCTATGCTCTGGCAAGTAGACTAGAGTTCAGCTGAAGAAAATGATAAACATACTGTTAACCTCTTTGGAGAGTAGAAGAATGCCCGGTGAAATGTTCCTCTTTCCCGGTTTCCCAAGGACCATTGGCTGTGAGGGCAGTTCTTCTAGTGGTCACCCCACACTACTGAGTCACTTCCGCTTCCTGCCCACTTCCTCCGCCGACACCACAATCTACCCTGTCTGGAGATAAAAGATCTGCTTGATCCATTCAGTGGCCTGGTGGTGACAAGTCTGATGGCTTTATTGTAAAGCTCCTCATCAACCTTCTACTTAGTGGTTTTTCATTCATTGATTACCATTTCCCTAGTCCGTTGCATCTCATTAGGGAGCTGCTCATTTTACTAGAAGAATATTGCTAAAGTATCTAAAGGGAAGTTTCACCGGCAGGAGTTCAAAGGTTTTCCTCAGCTTAAGTACAAGCACATGTGTGTTACAAAATAAAATAAGAACATAAAACAAAGTGTCTTACAAATCCTAAAGCCACGGTCAGTCATCGGGGAGTTCTAGCCCAGGATCTACCATCGATTGACAAGTGTCAGGGAACGTTTCACCCCCAGGAATTTTCCTATGAACCAAGGCACTCATTATGCAGCCCCTCAGACACACCTGGCAATGCTCCTTAATCAAATGTGAGCAACTTGGATGTGGTACAAAGATGTTTTAGAAATCTATAAAGGGATATAAAGTGATAAGCCTTTCGCATACATGTGATGTTTTATTTAATGAAAAATAACATGGATATCAATCCATTCAGAATAGCAATACACATGCAATGCAAAGTAAGAGTCACCCACCGACCTCCACCGCAGGCAGCAAAGCTGTGGGTGCTGTCACGGTGCTGTACCTCACAGCACGTAACTGAAGGAAGCGCTGCCTGCTGCTGCGACACCCTCACTGCTGCTGCCCATTACTGCAGCCTCATCTCAGTCCATCTCACTGAGATGCTCCCCCCCCCCCACATTTCATGCTTTACCAAGCAGGGTCCCCCTTTTCAAGGAATGGCCTTATAACGTGTCCACAGTACGTGAGATGAAGTCAGCCTACCATCCTCACTTCTAAGACACATGCTCGGTGTACTTCTTCCAGGACTGATCGTTCTTCTGGTGGCCCATGGTACTTCCAATATTCTTCACTGCCACCACAATTCAAATGTATTCAGTCTAGTGTGGTCTTCCTTATTCCTTGTGCAGCTGTCACATGCAGGTGAAGGGATTGAAAATACCATGGCTTGGGTCAGGCGCACCTGAGTCCTCCAACCGACGTCTTAGCTGTTAACACGTTAACATGATCTCGTGCAGAAGATGGGCCCAATACAATACTTCACTTGATTTCTTGACTGCCGCTTCCAGGAGTATTGATTTTTGGGTTCAAATAAAATGAGAAATCCTTGACACCTTTCATTTTTTTCTCCATGAGTTTGCCTATTATTCTAATTGTAAGGATTGTGTTTCTTTACAATGAGTTGTAATCCATATGGAAAGCTGTAGTTTTTGGTTTTAATCAGCAAGTGCTTCTAGGCCTCTCGGCTTTCCGAAAGCAAGATTGAGTTCTCTGCATACCACAGGCTGTCAATGAGCCTTCTTCCTGTCCCAGTGCTTTCCATTGGCAGCCCAGCACCTAAGCACCATGCGACCAGCGCTCCCTCATAGAACACACTTGACATTTCCCCGGGCTCTTGGGTTTATTTATACCTAGTCCTTGGGAGGCATCAAAACTGTGAAAGAGTAGGGAAAGAATGGTTGGAAACTGATTGTGGTAGCAGCTATACAATTCTACATGGCGTGATTGGAATGATAGGTTATAGGTATCAAATCCCAACTTAAAAAAAAACTGAAAGAACAAGAAGGTGAAAATTTCTGATGTAGTTAACGCCCACGGAATAAAACTGAGTGCTGCCTCAAAAGACTCCACTTCCAGGGTGCTTCCATAGGCAAGGATGACGATGATCGTGTCTGGTGGTCGTTCGCTTTTTATTAAATTTTATTAAATTCGGACTTGGCAGTTCCTCTGGAATTCAGGTTCTTCCAGTAAACTGAACTCACTGCCATCGAGTCGATTCTGAATCAGACACACATAATTTGTTCTGATATTTAAAGGAGAAAATTTCCTGAGGAAGCTCAGGTGAGCGTGTCTGAGAAACTCTCCAACCTTTGCCGACATCACTTGTTGAAATGCCTTTTTCTGGGGGTTGAGGGTGGAAGTAACTGAAAAGAGGTATAGTCACAGGGTTGAGCACAAGTGACACCGTGGGATTTTCCGTTGTCATGACATGATGCTTTTTCAAAAATACAACTTAAAATAAATGATAATGATTATGTACATGTTGATTCCGTTGCTTCTCATCTTTCACCAGTTTGCTATGTGTATTATTATTATTATTATTATTAAAGGAGATTCCCTGATACTAAGAAACCAAACCATACCCAACTCACTGCCATGCAGTCCATTTTGGTTCATAGCAACCCCACAGAACAGAGTAGAAGTTGTCCTGTGGGATTCGGAGACTGTACCTCTTCATGGGAGTAGAAAGCCTATCTTTCTTCTGCATAACTATTGATGGTTTCGAGCTCCTGAGCAACACAGTTTCCCAGGGGCGACTTTATATCAAAGTCCGATGTGTGGACTGGAGTGACAAGAACCTACATGGAGAGTAAGGGCCTTTAGCTCCTTTAAAGAACAGTCTTGTATCAGTGCCCTTGTGAGAATGCCAACCTGGTGTTGCTACCATGTTCTCTTCTGTCCATTGGCCACCACAAGACCTCCTGCGGTGGAGTTGATTTCATCTCATGGATACACTACAGACCGGACCAGATCTGCCCTTCAGGTTTTCAGGAGTGTTGGTGGCGTAGTGGTTACTGTGATCAGCTAGCAAACCAAAGGGCTGGTGGGCCCTCTTCATCCTCAGGACAGTCTCTCCACTTACTTCTTTCACTTTGTTTTCTTTGACAGGTAATGGCTGTGGGCACATCGTGACCTACCAGGACAGTGGCACAATGACATCCAAGAATTACCCAGGGACTTACCCCAATCACACAGTTTGTGAAAAGACTATTACAGTACCAAAGGGGAAGAGACTGATTTTGAAGTTGGGAGATTTGGATATCGAGCCCCAGACCTGTGATTCTGGCTACCTTCTCTTCACCAGCTCCTCTGATAAGTATGGTAAGAAGAGAGGTCTCGGTTTCTGTGAGCATGGAAAGTTTGGGAATTTGGAGAGGAGGACAGGTGGTGTTCATTAGCAGGATAGGCCGGAAATAGCATCCGAGAAGCTCACTTTTTGTAAGCTCTCAGGGTACCTGAGATGGCTACAGTCATTTCCTAACCAGACAGCAAAGGGTCCTTTCCTGAGCGGTTTGACCTGTGTGCACGTTGCACAAGAGGTGTGGTTTTAAATCTCAATGGGAAGAGAACTGGAGGGGGAGGACCTTTGGCAGGAGCATTTAGAGCTCGTCCATTCATTCGTTGGACAAACACTGGCATTGTCTTCTAGGTATGCTGAAGAAATGAGATAAAGCCGTGAAAGCACAAATTTCTTCACTCTTGCGACTTGTATTCGGGGTGGGGGTGGGGAGGTAAAGGGAAGAGGAAAAGAAAATAAATGACTAACTAAATGCATCTATAATAGGAGTGGACATGAGAGGGGAGAAAAGAAAAAGGCAGACTGGGGCTGGTGTGTGTGTGTGTGTGTGTGTGTGTGTGTGTGTGTGTGTGTGTGTGTGTGTGTGTGTGTGTGTTTTCCTTCAGATGGAATAGTCTAGAAGGCTTCTCCAGAGAAGGAATAGGCGGACAGGGCTGACTGGGCTTTGGGCGGAAGAACAGCAAGTCCACAGGCACTTTTCACGTTGACCTTCTGAAATGTAGTTTTTGTGTCTCGGAGCATGCCGTTAGAGGTGCGGATTAGCAACGATGCTCAGCTGGAGGAAGAACCGTGGAAGTGAGACAGCTGAAAACCATGTCAGAACCCTGTGTGTAGGCTTTCCTGAGATGAGAGATTTTATTAAATTCTCTGTACCTACAGCTGCACGCATGATACAGGTTGTAAGTAAAATGTTGACTGTCTGCCACTTCTACAGGCAATTTCTTTCTTTTACATGTATTTTTTACTTTGGGAACTATATAGTAATAAGATATTTCTGAGCACAGTTTCATGCTGTCTTTCCCGCAGGCCCAGAATGGTGTTGTCTCCTCTGTTTTGAATTCACACTTCCCAGGAGACAATTGAGAGGTCTGAATTCATCCAACCTCACCGAAGTCTATAAGGAGAGAGAGAGAGAGTGTGTGTGTGTGTGTGTGTGTGTACACTTTAATTGTGGTTGAATTACTCCCACAGACATCTGGTTTTGATTTGTTTTTGAAATTAGTTATACTTTAGTTTGATGAAAATTGGAGAGTCAGGGATGTGTCCGGCCCCTGGAAGCGCTTACTGTTCAGTTGCCTCAGGGAAGTGCATGTAAGTAACTTAAGGAGGCCCTTCAAGGGATCCTTTGTGAGCCAGGAAACTTGAGTTCAGATTCCCAGGAGGCAATTGGGTGTTGGAGGTCAAATGTATAATGTGAGGCAGAGTTCTCTGGGGCCAAACAAAAATGGCTTTTCCACTCATCTCTCAGGGGAAGGTGGGTACCTTTCCCTGGAATGAGCAGTTCATTCCACCTGCTGCCCGGGCTGCAGAGTGATCATCTCTGCGGCTCAGCTGTCTCCGGTCAGACAAAGGCTGAGGGGAGCGGACGGGGAAGGGAGCAAATCATCCTGCACGATCTTTGAGGGCGGGCAGTGGAGGGAAAACCCTCCACACCAGAGGGTTTTCCAGCCCACTTGGATGCATATTCACAAACTCCACAAAAAGGGGAAAGAAGTTCCTTGCACGGGTGGAGCTTGGTGGTCTCCACATTTCTAGATTTTTACATGTTCAAGGCTTGCCGTAAAGAAATGGGGAAGGAATTGTAATTCGCTTACAGCAATGAAACCCAGTGAGATGGTTTCCTCTTTGCTTTTGTCCTATACCAAGTTATATTTATCTTTGATAAAGAGAGTACCTGCTTTTCATAGAAGAAGAAAAATAATCAATTCGAGTTGTATGCCAAGCACTTAATTTAGTCTTTACATGTGTTATCTAGAATTCTTACATCCACCCTACAAGGTCCATACCATTAACTCTTTTGTACAGGAAGACTGAAGCACCACAAGACTTAGAGTACTCAAGATCACTCAATTAGGTGAGGGCTGAAGGGATGATTTACATTCAGGTCTTTGTTGTTCCAAGACATCTCTTTCTGCGGATCCCTCTTTCAGCCCAAAGAAAACCACAGCTAAGACCACCCTTCCTGGGTGGAGCCCCCATGACTGGAACCCCCTCCCAAGTTGCTGTATAGAATGTAAATTCTCTAGAAATTTTGTCTAAAACCCAAGGAGTACATGTTATTTTTGACAGAGCATATTCTTAAGGTAAAATAATCACCAGTCCTCGGAAAATCTCTCTTTTGTGGCAACAGGAAAAAAATCATTCAACCAAAAGCACTAACCAGATGTGTGAGTGTGAGTGTGTGTGTGTGTGTGTGTGTTTACCTCTTTATTATGATTTGGGTGAATGTTTATTGAGCAAACCCATTTCCTGTTCAGTAACTCCTCCACCGTTTATTTCATGATCTTGACTAGTTTCTTCAGTGTACCAGCACTGTTCTCACTTCCTCCATTTACCGTTTCCAGTCTTCTTTCCCGTTCCTTCGTTTCCAGGTTCAGTGATTGGCTAGGGTTCCCAAAAAAAAGGTTTTGTAACTTTACCCCCGATCTGCTCTACTATTTCACAACTATCTATTCAGTCTGGGTCAGTACGTGTGTGAAAATATCCCCTGTCAACCCTAGACGTAGTTTGTATAGGTCATTACTTTTTAACGATACATAGGAGTTGCTGATATTTCAGTAGAGCAATCTTTTGAACAAGTGCAAGTATAAAGCAAGCTGTGTTGACAGCAAACACTAGCCAGACTTGCATTTTCGCTTGCTTGAAACCGCCCCCTGGCCAATTCTGTTTGGAGCCATCAGTCCTCTTGGATCTGAAGCGCCCTCATCAAGTTTGGGCACCAAGTGTGCAGAACACTCGAGTGCTCTCCAGCCACACAGACTTCAAGGGGGGTGGGGGAGGCCGAGGGCTTTGTCTTCCTGTTGTTCACCTCTGCAGTGAGGGTGGCCAGGGGATCTGGCCTGACTAAGGAGTGGGAGCCGAGTGCCAGCCCAAGTCTCAGGGATCCACAGCCACCATTCATGACCTGGAGAGGGGGTGGATGGGAAATGCCGCAGGAGGAATTTGGTGTTCCGGGCGAGCTTCCGTAACGCTGGTATGTGGCAACGCCGGTGATTGCATGTGTGGTTGAAACAGCTGGGTATGGTGATAGCTTTTCTAGCTTGGTTTTTCATTGACAACCGATTGCTAAAACCCATTGCCAAGGTATTTTAAGATGCAAAGCGATCAGAAGTTGGAATTTGGATTTCATGTCTTGAAAAAGAATAATGCTTTCTGGCATTAGTATTTGTAAGCTGTGTCAAGAGTGGACAGACTTGAAATGTGATTATATTAACCATTGTGAATCTACTGAAAAGGAACAGTTTTAATCATCATGGATTTCTATTTAAATGGCTTACTCCCATCAATTTCGTTTTAAACATTTGGTTCATATACTTGAGGCACTTTTATGAGCCACATTCTTGGTAGCAAAACATACTTGTAAACAACGGTGGCCACCCACACCAGTTTTCACAGTAATCAGGCAGACCTGGCACTTGATCTTGTGGGTGTTAAAAGGACTAAGACAGGCAAAAATGGGATTTCTTCTTCTGTTTGTTATGTATTATAATTATGACTGGTATTTCAGATTTGATCATCAATTCGAAGATTATATTTATATGTCTTTGATAATTTATCCACCCTTTTGAAATATCCTTGAACCAGCTACAAATGTGCAAAAATTAATAAAGCATATCAGTTTTTTTTTTAGGGGAAAAAATGTGCTCTAAAGGGGGAAAAAAAGAGAAAGTTTTTAGATACTTTTTAAATAAGACTTTCACTTTTAAACTGATAACATTCCTAGATAAGATTTAAAGAGTTTCAGACAAGGTCATGTTTGTTATTATCTTGGCCCAAAGCGAGAAAATGTTAAGAAGTAGCATGCTTTGCTTAGGAGGGAACCTTTTCAGGACTACTGAGGAATTTCTGAGTTTCATTTAAGAGATTCAACTGAGATTCCCTTCAAAACAAGCACAAATACTCCTTTTCTGGTCTAGGATTCAATTCAGGATCACGAAGCACTTAATTTGTATGACTCCTCACTCTCCATTAATTTGCACTCATTCTTCAGTTTTCCTGCCCTTTCTCTCTCTCTCTCTCTCTCTCTCTCTCTCTCTCTCTCTCACACACACACACACACACACACACACACACACACACACACACACACACACAGAGTTTAGAGTAGTTACTGTGGAAAATGTCTGTCAGCTTCTTGGCTTTGATGTCTCTTTAGGATTAAATTCAGGTTATGCCTCTTTGCCAAACAGAACATTGTCGCTTCTTAAAGTGAAGGTTGTTGACCATAATCCCCATCAGGTAAAATTGCCAGGACGTAGATCCTAGGGGGACGGACTAAATTGGCATTAAGTTTCTCTTTGCCTCACTTTGTATGGCTTTCTTCAGGTAGACTCTTAAGTTGAAACTGATAGTGATTTGGGTGATTTCAAGCAGATGTGTCTTCTCCAAACAGTGTTTTGTTGCTCAGAGATCAGAGTCAGAGAAGTCTTTGAAAGAACTCACATAGCAAGTGCCCCCTTCAGGAGTGCAGTGGAAACGCGTTCCTCTTCTGTCTGCCATGTAGATGGGAGATGCATGATGAAGGCAGCACAGCTGCTGCCTGGCTGAACAACCGTACTCTTAAACCTGGGATCCGAAGAGTCAAATCAGGAATACTTTTGACTAAAATCTCAATTTTTATACAGCCCATTCAAGAGTGCTACTTTGGTACAGATTCTTAGTACCGTCCTCTTATATTTGGAATATAAAATACTGAAGAGATCAATGATATAGCACATTAAAATATCTTAAGCATTGGGGGAAAGTAGGTACAAAAACAGCTATCTAAACCCCAATTCAACCTATGAAATCTCTTAACACTGTG